GGATCATGCGGGCACACCCACTGGGACCTTCGGTGGAGCTCCCTATGGGGCCACGAAATATGTGAAGGGTGTGATGAAATGGGTGTGCGGGACGCATGCGGGCACACCCACTGGGGTCGGTGGAGCTCCCTATGGGGCCACGAAACGTGTGAGGGGTGTGCCGACATGGGTGTGCGGGACGCATGCGGGCACACCCACTGGGACCTTCGGTGGAGCTCCCTATGGGGCCACGAAGCGTGTGAGGGGTGTGCCGAAATGGGTGTGCGGGACGCATGCGGGCACACCCACTGGGACCTTCGGTGGAGTTCCCTATGGGGCCACGAAGCATGTGAGGGGTGTGCCGAAATGGGTGTGCGGAGGAGGAGAGGGAGGAGGAGAGGAGGAGAGGAGAGGAGACGCGGGCCACCGTCTCTTCAAAACGAGGACCCAACAACACAGGTTGGTTGGGAAAAATGCACACGTCCGAGCGATGCCAGGTTCTCAGAGGGCTCAGAAGGCCTCCGGCCTTCCGATAACTGAGACGGTCTGCCTTCTCGCACCTCCCCCCTCAGCGCGCCGCCGAATTGTACCAGCCTGGAACACATCCCTATCCCTAAGCTGGGCATCTCCTCATCACGATGCCAATCTTAGGGATTCCCTCATTTTTTGAGGGCGCATCCCTAAGATTATCATCGCGTTTTGGAGTGTCAATCTTAAGGATAGAGAGAAGTTCGCGGCTGGTGAGAATTTAGCTCTCGGGTCTCCCAGGGCACTCCCAGAAACCCTCTCGGCCAGGCGCGGCTGCTGGAAAGTACCCCAAGGCTGGAGGACCTCTGGGAACGGACGAAACAGTACGACAGTGTCGAACCTCGAACCTCGAGGAACCAGCAATGACATACACATGAACTTTCAGAGGTCCGCGAGGATTTCTTGGATCTGCACTGGACTCCCCTCCTTGGCGCGCGGAGCGCGCCAGGGGCTCCAGCGCCGACCTAAGGCATCTGCGCGGACCTCCGAAAGTGTATGCTTTGTCACTAGTCGTTCCCCGAAACCCGAAAGCGCGTCGCCGATCCCGAGCATCTTTGCACCGGCTCCCCACTGGCGTGGCCTCGGCCCCACTGGCCGATTGAGCCCCCCTGGGTGGGGGGATGTAGGCTGTTCCCTTCGGGCTTCGAGGGGCCCATCCCCAACTGGGGGTGGTGGGATGGTGCGGCTGAGAAGCCCTGGCCCCCTTGGAGCGGCGAGAAGTTCCGCGGCCTCTCGGGCTGGGCCCCATGGGCTGTGACCCCGCGGACACGGGGCGTCTTCTGCGCGGCTGCCCCGCGGCGGCACGCGCCCGTGCGACCGCGTGCCCGCGGGACCGCGCCCCGGCAGCCAGCCCGCGGGGGCCCTTCGCCGCTCGTGGGCGGTCCTTGCTCGTGCGCGGCACCGCGCCGAGCCCGGGGCCCCGCGCCCCCGCGCCTGCCGCCGGCGCGCCGCCGCTGCGCCCCGCGGCGGCGCGGCCGCCCGCGGCCGGCCGGCGCGGCGCGGCCGTGCGCGGCGGGCCCAGGAAGGCCCCGCCGCCCGGAGGGCCCTCCGGCGGGGCGAGGGCGAGCAGGGCCTCGGCGTCCGGCGGGCCCCTCGGGCCGATCTCGCGACGCGAGCGCGCGACCCCTCCGGCGGCGAAGACGGCGCTGCTTGCACGCGGCCGGGGGGTCTGAGCTGGATGGGCCCCGAGACAATCGGTGCACCCTGCGAGAAATTCAAGACCCCCCCGCGTGATCGCCGCCCCGATCACGATGGCTACCTCGCCGATCACGGGGCTCGATCCCGCGTGTGCCAGCTCAGGCGATCGCGCGGCCAGGCCGAAGCGATCGCGCGAGCGGCGGGCACGTGATCCCCGATGTCACTGCGAGCACAGGGGCACCGCCAAGGTGGACTTCTGCCGGGCGGCGGAGAAACGCTTGTGAACGAGGGCCAGAAGCTCGGGGCGCGGCGCGGGCGACGAGATCGCAAAGGCCCGAGCCCTCGGCATTGCGAGTCGCCCAGGGAGGCGTAGGGTTTCCACTCTCGATGGCAAGCCTCGACGGCGAGGCAGGCGGTGCCGATTCTATTTTGCTGTTGTCGCCGATCGCGTGATCAGACGGCGCTGAGAGCAGGGCGCACGCGAGCGCCGCCAGCAGGCCGGCGAGCGGTGGGCACGCCGAGCGCCGCCGCTGGCGGGCCGCGGGCGTTGGGCCGGCCATTTGTGCTGCTGCTGCCGGAGGTGCGGCGGCGGCGGCGGCGAGGGCGAGGTCGAGGCGGTGGCCGGGCGCGGGAAACTTGCTCGATCCCAAGGTGGGCGACGAAACGAAAAGGGTCTCCCGCGAGAGGACAAGCGACCTTGCGCGGTGGCTTGCGCGGGCCGCCAGCGCGGCACGCCACATTGGAAACGAGGGCGCTTACGCGCGACATTGCGCGGGCAACATACGCGCGAATGTCGGTCGCCCAGGTGGCCACGGGCTCAGACTCCTTTCCGAACCAAAAGGGTCTACTTTGCTTGCGCGGATGATGGGATCTAACCCGCGTGGGGACCGCTGGCCTCGCGCTCCTCACCACCGAACCCATTGGCGACTGTCAGTCAGGAGCTGAATCCTCTGCTGGCGCACCTGTGTCATCTCTGTGGACCTCCAAAGGGTCCGCATGCGAGCGCCGTGCCAACGCAAGTCTGGCCCCGGGCCCTCGACGAGAGGCCTCCCGTGGCGCTTCTCGGGGGGCCCCTCCGGGGGGCACCTCGCGGCGATCCTGGAGGCACTCCGCGTGGCCAGATCGGTCCTGTGGCCCGACACAACACACGACACACACACACACAACATGCACAACATACACAACACACACAACATCACACATAACACACAACACACGACACACAGCATCCAACGTACGACATACAACACACACAACACACAACACACAACACACAACACACACCACACAACACACAGCACACAACACACGGCACACACCATACACACAACTCACAACACACAACACACACAGCACGCAACAAACAACACACACACACACACCGCACACAACACACATACCATGCAACACGCATCACGCATCACACAACACACAACACATAACACATAACACAGAACTCATAGCACACACCACACCACACACGACACACAACGCACAACATGCAACACACACACAACACACAACACACACAAAACGCACCATACACCATACACCACACACACCACACAATTCACATTTCACGGGTCACAAGTCACAAACCAGAACACACATCACACAACACACAACACGCAACACACAACACACAACGCACAACTCACAGCACACAGCACACAGCCCACAACACACACGCAAGCACACTCACAGGCACACACACACACCTCCCCCACAAGGCGGGGGAATCATGCCTGGAGCCCCCGGCTCCAACTTCGTTCGGCACTTCTCGAGCGGCATCGATCCAAGAGGGCGATGGTGCCCGAAGCGGGGCGACAACATTTCTTCCCCCACACTCTTGGATGCCAGGGGGAGGAACGCTGAGCCTGCACGAACAGGCTGCGTCTCTTCCTGTACACCCTGCCGCCGGCTAGAGTCGCGGCCCAGGCCTCTCCTGGGGCGCGCTCTGGCCAGGACCTCGCCTGTGGTGCAGCGCAGAGCGAGGCGCAGGAATCGGCGGCCACTCGGGCGCACCGCCTGGGCCGGGCCCCCCTACCTCGCCATCGCTCGGACGTCCATTCCCTGTGCTTTTTTCGGTTTCGTGCGTGGGTTTTTCGCCACATGATCAAGGATGCAACTCGATGGCCCTCGCCAAAGGAAAAATGCACACGTCTGAGCGATGCCAGGATACTGCTGCACCGAGGAGTCTGCGGCCACGCGCGCGCCACGCAGCGCGTGGACGGGACCCCGTGGCCGTCACGGAAAGCCCCCCGACCCGCCCGAGCAGCGCATGCGCGGCACTCTGCGGCTGCCACGGAGAACCGCCTGGGCACCCACCTTCAAGTCCGCAGGGAAGCAACAGTCCAAGCGCAGGCACCGCCTAGGAACAACAGAAAGGCGTCACACCCCCTTGCTGCTGCTGCTGTTGCTTCTCCTCCGTTGCTTCGTGCGCGGCAGGGTTCTTCGCCTGCGGCCCCCAGACTCCTCCCGAACCCATCCTGGCCAAGTTTCGTCCAAGACTGATTTCTATCGGTCCCGGGCCCGACCAAGCACGGGCCTCCGGAGAACCGGAACGGCGCAACACCTGCTCGGGCCCCCTCCTCCTGCTCCAACTCTTCTCCAAGTCAGCCCCTGAACCTCTTCCAAAGCAGGCAAGCTGCGGTTTACCCGCCCATTTGGTCGCTGTCTCTCTCTCTCTCTCTCTCCAGCTGGTGCCGTCCTGCTCCGCCGGGGCAGAGCGCCCGTCTATGCTCGGCGTGGAGCCTTGCTTTGATTGGGAAAGAACGGCGAAGGCGACCAGGATCCTCTGCGTTCCACCTGGGATCTGGGGGGAACCCCGCCGCGGCGACGAGAAGCCGACTGGAGGCCAGAAGAGAGCGAAACACGCCCAAAGCCTCAAATCTCGATCTCTCCTCCTCCTCCTCCTCCTCCTCCTCCTCCTCCTCCTCTCACCCTCTGCTCCCCCCATGTCTACGCACTTTTTCCTTTCAGTCCACTGTGCTGCTGCACTTACTCCCTCCTCCCTGTCTGCGCACTGTTTCCTTTCAGTTCACTGTGCTGCTGTACTTGCTGCCTCTTCCCTGCGTTGCCCGCAACCTTGGCGCCCGAGCCGATGCAATGTTAGGGGAGCGACCCCCTCTGTTTGGCGTGCAGGATGCAGACTTCTTACCCGACCAGCCAGCGGTTGAGTCAGATGCGCAATCTTAAATCCTCTTCGCCCGAATTCTCCTACTCCCCTCTGCTCGAGCACCCCCCTCTGTTTGGCGTGCAGGGTGCAGACTTCTTACCCGAACAGCCCGCGGTTGAATCAGATGCGCAGTCTCGAATCCTCTTCGCCCGAATCTTCCTACTCCCCTCTGCTCGGCCTCGTCGAGCAACGCTTCGCCCAGAGACCCGTCGCCCTCGGCGAGGCTCTTGCGCTCGGCGTACAGATCCAGCAGATACAGGAGCCTCTGGACGGGAAGGGATGAGTTAGAACTTAGCTTCTTTCCTCCTCCTCCTTCTCCTCCGCCTCCCCCTCCTCCTCCTCCTCCTCCTCCTCCTCCTCCTCCTCCTCCTCCTTATCATCCTGCTCCTCCTCCTTCTCCTCCTCCTCCTCCTCCTCCTCCTCCTCCTAGCTTCTCTCCTCCTCCTCCTCCTCCTCCTCCTCCTCCTAGCTTCTTTCCTCCTGCTCCTCCTCCTCCTGCTCCTCCTCCTCCTCCTCCTCCTCCTCCTCCTCCTCCTCCTCCTCCTCCCCCTGCTCCTCATCCCGCTGCTCGGCCTCGTCGAGGCGCGCCCTTCTCAGGGGCCCGTCGACCCCCTCGACGGGGGCAGGGGGAAGGAGGATCGGGGATCCTCGCCCTCTCGGCGGGGGAGGGAGGGTCGGTCGGGCTCGGCGTTGCAGCAGTCTGCGTGCCGCCTGGACGAAAAACTCTCACCCCGAGAGCCAAAGGGCCCCCCCCCCACCCCGGCGAAGGGCGGCCCAGCCCGGAGTCGCGGACGACGCGGAGCGGGGCGGGCGGACGACGCGAAGCGGGGAAGGGGGGAGGGGGATGGGACCAGACGCCTCCAGGCGCCGTGGGCAAACATCGCGACGGGCGTCCCTCCGACGGGTGTGGTTTGCAAAAGGTCTGGTTTGCAAGCCGCGCCTCGATAGAGATCCCCGCCGCGCCGAGACGGGAACGCATGAAGCCTTTTGGCGCAACTGGGTGACCCCCTGAGCCCCCACGGCGCCGATCGCAAGCTACACCCCGGCGTAACCACACCCCTTGCAGTCGCCTGCTCTGGGCCTCGAGGGGGCCGTTTTCCTGGGCGCCGCGTGGGGCCGCAGCGGAGATGGCCTGCGGCGGACAACTGGGGGGGGGCGGGGGCCGAGAATTCTGGGGGCCAACGCCGTGAGACAGCTCGCGACGTGGGAGGCCTGGGGGGGATGAGGATGCCGTCGTCGAGCGTGGCATGGAGCGTCTCACTGTTCTCGCACGGGGAGGACGAGGAAGAGGGAGGAAGAGGAGGAGGAGGAGGAGGAGGAGGAGGAGGAGGAGGAGGAGGAGGAGGAGGAGGAGGAGGAGGAGGAGGAGGAGGAGGAGGAGGAGGAGGAGGAGGGGAGGAGGAGGAGGAGGAGGAGGGGCATGAGGAGGAGGAGGAGGAGGAGCAGGAGGAGGAGGAGAAGGAGGAATAGGAGGACGTGTAAGAGGAGGAGAAGACGGGAGGAGGAGGATGAGGAGGAGATGGGAAGGATGAGGAGGATGTCCTTTTGAGTCTCTCTGAGCGGGTTGCTGGGCCCCCATCAGCCCACGAGGCAGGGGGGCGAATCAGGATAATGGTATGGATGACGATGATGATGATGATGATGATGATGATGATGATGATGATGATGATGATGATGATGATGATGATGATGATGATAATGATGATGATGATGATGAAGATGACGATAAGGATGCTGTTGATTGTTGATGGCGATGCTGATGGCAATGGTGCTGGTGATGCTGCTGCTGATGACGGTTGTTGTTGTTGATGATGATGGTGCTGCTGCTGCTGATGATGATGCGGGTTGTCATGATTTAGCTGATTCTGATGATGCTGCTGATGTGGCCGATTATGAGGATGATGATGCTGCTGCTGATGATGCTGCTATTGATGATGACGATGATGATGCTGATGCTGATGCTGATGCTGCTGCTACCGATGATGATGATGATGATGATGATGATGATGATGATGATGATGATGATGATGATGATGCTGATGATGTTGATTCTGGTTCTGATTCTGACAATGATGAGCAGGAAGAAGACGATGAATAACATTAAGATGAAGTCAATCCCGAGGAGGAAGAAAAACAAAACACACCCCGTCCGGACAAGGAAGCCAGACGCAGCCTAGGCAGGCGAAGGGAAGCATAATAAGCCAGCCTCGCTGGCGCGTCACCGTGCCAAATGGTCTCTGCACGGTGGCCAGGCGTCCAGGCCGACCTCCGCCGACGTGGCGCCTGCGCTGGGGTTCTTCTGCTAGCTCGCTGCAATCAGCCCGTGTCTATGAGCACGCTTCGCAAGCTCGACTCCCTCACTCTCTGGCGTCGCGGAAAACTCACGACGTATTATTCTTGGACATCTTCGGTCTCTGAGGGCCCCTGTCGGCACCCTCCTCGGCGACGAACCAAAATGTATACCAGTTGTTTTCGGCTCGAAAGCCGCGTCGTGCGGGGCGTCAGTGCCGCACGGGGTGGCCGACGAGCCTACCCGTGGGGACATCCACCAGCAAGCCTTTCACAATGTTGTGATTAATTATGGTTCTCATGTGGGGACACTCTAGCCCGGGTCAGCACAAACCCAGGTCGGCCAAGGCCCTGTCGCGAAGACCGGCCGGCTGCTTAGTAGCTCCCCAGCCCAGGCCAGCTGAGGGCGGAGAGGGGAAATCGGCCCCACGTGGCTCCGAAACTGGGGTCAGCCAAATGGGTATTGGCTGGCCTCCCTCAGAGTGGACCCCCGTTGTGTGGGCCCCGATGTCGTCGAAAGAAACACCAATTCCCGGGAAAAGGTCCAGTTCTCTGGAGAGTCGCGCTGCGAAACAAGAGCGGCGTCGGATGCCAAGGCGGGTGCGCTCTTCTCGAGGCGCGGCGCTGGCTCCCGGCAGGGTGCCCCTCGTCGGCGGGCGGGTCGGCACAGCGCTGTCACATCGAGCTGGGCGGAGCGCCGCCGTCTCCTTGATCAGCGCAACGGGCGGCTCCAGAAGGGCGCGTCGTCGGAGGTCTGGAGGGCGGAAGTCGCCTCTCGTCGCGGCGCGGGCTCCTGGCAGGGTGCCATTCGTGGGCGGGCGGGTTGGCGCAGCACTGCCCAGCGAGCTGGGCTGAGCGCCGCCGTCCCTTGGACCCGCGCAACAAGACTCACGCTCGAGTCCAAGCCACGGGCGGTCTCCGCCGCCTGCCTTGGGCAGCGTGCTGGGGTCTCGGACGGCAATGCCGTTCTCGCACGTGCACCGCGTGCAGGTGGAAGGCTGGAAACTCGCGGTGTTTGAGGCGCGTCGTCGGAGGTTCGGGGAGTTGAGGTTGCCCTTCTCCGCCTCCTTCCTCCCTCCCTCCCTCCCTCCCTCCCTCCCTCCTCCTCCTCGTCGTCCTCCTCCTCCTCCTCCTCCTCCTCCTCTTCTTCCTCCTCCTCCTGCTCCTGCTCCTCCTCCTCCTCCTCCCTCTCCTCCTCCTCCTCCTCCTCCTCCTCCTCCTCCTCCTCCTCCTCCTCCTCCCTCCTCCTCCTCCGCCTCCTCCTCCTCCTCCTCCTCCTCCTCCTCCTCCTCCTCCTCCTCTCCTCCTCCTCCTCTCCTCCTCCTCCTCCTCCTCCTCCTCCTCCTCCTCCTCCTCCTCCTCCTCTCCCCCCCCCCTCCTCCTCTCCTCCTCCTCCCTCCTCCTCCTCCTCCTCCTCCTCCTCCTCCCTCCTCCTCCTCCTCCTCCTCCTCCTCCTCCTCCTCCTCCTCTCCTCCTCCTGCCCCTCCTCCTCCTGCCCCTCCTCCTCCTGCCCCTCCTCCTCCTCCTCCTCCTCCTCCTCCTCCGCTCCATGCTGGCCTTTGGGAAAACGGGTCGGCATGTTGACTGGGATGGGGGTCTGCAGGAAGAGTGCTGAACCGATCTCTGGCTCGGGGCCTGGGGCGCAGGCCAGGAATCATGCTCGAACCCATGCCACGGGGAGTCCCCGCCGCCTGCTTCGGGCAGCGTGCTGGGGTTCTCGGACGGCGGTGCCGTTTTCGCAATTCGCCGCGTGCCGGGGTGGACGCTCGTGCTGCTTGAGCGGCGCTGTGCTCGCTGCGCTCTGGCCTTCGCAGGTCGGGAGCGCCTCAGCCGTTGGAGCTGGGGCCTCGGTGTGGAGATTCCTCAAGAGGGGGTGCTCGAACTCCTCGATCTTGGCGTCCGTCGCGCCAACCAAGCTGGCCGTCCTCGCGTCGATGGCTGTGCCGATCTGCAGCGGGGGCGCCGGAAGGCATGGCCGGGCACCTCATCGGAGCAGCGGCCCAGCGAGGCCTGCACTTGCGCAGCGTGCTCATCCCGATGGGGGCGAGGGGCGGCGGCGCACCGAGGGGGGAAGTGAGAGGGAGGCGTCCTTCCCAGAAGGCGGCGATGCGTCTCAAAAGCCCTCGGGCCTTCCGCCCGCCCTCGCTTCCCTCCTCGGCGCGCCGCCGAGAGGGGCGAAGGGTGGTCGATGGCGCGCGCCGAGAAAGTGGGGCGAGCTTTCTTCGCTCACCCGAGAAGGCAGTCGTCTAAGCGTCCCTGATCAGGCTCGGCAGCGGCGCCGCTCACCACCCTCCTCCGCCCACCACCAATGCCAGGCGGTTCGCGCTCCGAAAGGGCAGGTCGCTTAGGGCTTCGCCCCTTCTCCGGAGCTTCTGCGAAGGGTCGCCCTCGCGCGTGCCCCGTGCTCGGGCGCGGGAGCCAGGGCCGAGGGGTCTGCGAAGCGAAGTGCTGCTGCTGCTATTGCTGCTGCCGCTGCTGCTCCTCGTCCTTCTCGCCCTCCTCCTCCGCTGGCGGCGGAGCGCGGTCCAGGCGCTCTCTGCCTTGGTGCTTGCGCAAACCCCCCAGTGCTTCGCACCAGCCCCGTGGATTCAACCACCTCCCCCTCGACCTCTTCTTCTTCATCCTCCTCCTCCTCCTCCTCCTCCCCCTCCTCCTCCTCCTCCTCCTCCTCCTCCTCCTCCCCCTCCTCCCCCTCCTCTTATACCTCCTCCTCCTCCTCCTCCCCCTCTTCTTTCTTCTCACTTTCCTCCTCCGCCTCTCACTTTTCCTCCTCCTGCGCATGAAGTGGGTCTGTACGAACGCCCGCACACCCACCCCCAGAACTTCGGCGGCAACGCGACGATGATAGCGTGTACCGATCCCCCTCCTGCACCCGTCATCTCACCACCACCGCCACCAAAGGCCCAGCGGCGGCGCCCGCGGCCTGACCGGCACGTCGCGCAGGCAAGGCCACATGACGCCGGTGGTGTACTCGCTGCCCGACAGGACCTGCGAGCTCCTCCTCGTCATCCTCGTCGTCGTCGTCGTCGTTCTTGTCTTCCCCCTTCTCCTCCTCCTTTTCCTCCTTCTCCTCCTCCCATTACGCTCCGCGCTCTTCCAAACTCATTCGCGTCGTTCGCCTCCTCGTCCTCCTTCTCCTCCTCCTCCTCCTCCTCCTCCTCCTCCTACTCCTCCTCCTCCCCCTGCTTCTCCCTCCCTCCCTCCTGCCTCCTCCCTCCTCCTACGTCTCTGCCTCACTCCTATCTCCTCCCGAGATCGAGCGTCGTGCCCCAGCGGTTTCGAAATCGCAAGCAGGTTTCTGTGATCATCGCCTGGTGTGAACGTCTGATGCTGCCTGGGTCAGTCGCTCGAGCGTGCGCACACTCTGTTGCGGCGCTGGACGCTGCGGACCTCGACGGGTTTGGCACAAGCGGGGTGGCGTGGCGGGCTTGCTGCCAGCTACCTGCGTTGGGCGCGAAGGACGGGGCGAGCGGGTGCTGGGGGGGGGGGGACAAGACTGGGGCAAGCAGTATGAGGACATGGGGGAGGACGAAACTGAAGCCCCCTTCTCCCTGGCCCCCACCCCCCTCCTCCTCATCATCATAATCATCATCCCCATCCCCATCTTCATCCTCATCATCGTCCTCATTACCACTACCACCATCAGCATTATAATCATGATCATGATCATTATCATCATCATCATCAGCATCATCATCATCAGCATCATCCTCATCCTCATCTTCATCCTCCTCCTCCTCAGTATCCTCGTCCTCGTCGTCGTCGTCACCATCACAATGGCCATCACCATCACCATCACCATTACCATCACCATCATCATCACCACCATCATCATCATCCTCATACTCATCCTCATCCTCATCATCTTCACAACCATCACAATCATTACCACCACCATCATCATCGGCAGCATCGTCAGCATCAGCATTATCACGACCAGCATCAGCAGCGTCAACAAAATCAACATTACCACCATCATCAACAACATCAACACTATCGTCGTCATCATTCTCATCATCACCGCCATCCTCCTCCTCATCATCACCATCACCACTACCATTACCGTCATCCTCCTCCTCATCCTCCTCCTCATCCGCAGCAGCACTCAGCAGCATCCACATCCTCATCCTCAGCAGCATGATCACCAACACCATCATCACCATCATCATTATCATCATAAGCATTATCCGCCGACCCCCTTGTGGGCCACAAGGCTGCAGGGCAAAGGTCTGCTGCTCCCTGCACCAGTTCCAATTTCCAATTTCCACTGTGATAACTCTGCTTCTTGTTGTATTACTGTTCCTTGTTGAAGACCGCGGGAAGGGGGGGAACCGAAAACCGGCAAACCTAGCGTCTCCTGAGAGGGTTCTTAGAATTTCTGGGGGGGTCGAAATTGACACCCTCACGCAGATTGGCGGGGTCAGGGTCCAAAAACACATGGGATTTGCCACGTTTCTAAAATTCGGCGGCACCCTTCACGCAGATCGGCGGAGTCAGGGAAGAACAACTCATGGGATTTGCCGCATTTCTGAAATTCGGCGGCACCCCTGACGCAGATCGGCGGGGTCAAGGATGAAAAACCAATGGGATTTGCCACATTTCTGAAATTCGGGGGCACCCCTCACGCAGATCGGCGGGGTCAGGGTCGAACAACCAATAGAATTTACGCAGATCGGCGGAGTCAGGGTCGAAAAACCAAGGGGATTTGCTATATTTTTGAAATTCGGCGGCCGCAGATCGGCGGAGTCAGGGTCGAACAAATTAATGGGATTCGCCACATTTCTGAAATTCGGCGGCACCCCTCACGCAGATCGGCGGGGTCAGGGCCGAACAACTCATACGGATTTGCCGCATTTCTGAAATTCGGCGGCACCCCTCACGCAGATCGGCGGCGTCAGGGTTGAATAACCAATGGAATTTGCCACATCTTTAAAATTTGGCGACACCCCTCACGCCGATCGGCGGGGTCAGGGTCCAAAAACACATGGGATTTGCCACGTTTCTGAAATTCGGCGGCACCCCTCACGCAGATCGGCGGAGTCAGGGTCGAAAAACCAATGGGATTTGCCACGTGTCTGGAAATTCGGTGGCACCCCTCACGCAGATCGGCGGCGTCAGGGTTGAAAAACCAATGGGATTTTCCACATTTCTGAAATTCGGCGGCACCCATCATGCAGATCGGCGGGGTCAGGGTCTAACAACCCATGGGATTTGCCACATTTCTGAAATTCGGCGGCAGCCCTCTCGCAGATCAGCAGGGTCAGGGTCGAGCAACCTATGAGATTTGCCACGTGTGCGAAATTCTGTGGGAAACCTCAGTGTATACCATACGGAGGCAGGTTCAAAATACCACGCTGAGTTCAGCAATATCATCAGGATCTCACTTTCTCTTGCCGATGCTGCTTCACGGCGGCGCCGAGGCCTCATGATTTAGCTCTTGCGTAGCCCATTATCCGAAAGAGGGGGCCGGCGGCAGGGTGCGAAGTCCTTACGGATCATCATCATCATCATCATCATCATCATCATCACCACCATCATCATCATCATCAGCATCAGCATCAGCATCAGCAGCAGCATCATCACCATCAACATCACAATCACCATCACCATCATCATCATCACTATCACTATCACCATCACCATCACCATCACCATCACCATCACCATCACCATCACCATTATCATCATCATCATCATCATCATCATCATCATCATCATCATCATCATCATCATCATCATCATCATCATCATTCTCATCATTCTCATCATTCTCATCATCATCATCAGCATCATCATCATCATCGTCATCAACATCACGATCGCCATCACACTCACCATCATCATCGCCATCACCATCACCATCATCACCATCATCATCATTATCATCATCATCATCAACATCAACATCATCATCATCATCATCGTCATCAACATCACGATCGCCATCACACTCACCATCATCATCGCCATCACCATCACCATCACCATCATCACCATCATCATCATTATCATCATCGGCGCCACCTCATTGAAGTGCTCCTCCTGGTCCGGGTGCCTCTCCAGCGCCCCGAAGAAGGCGGAGCGGGGCACGCCCACCACGAAGCAGAAAGTCATGGCGCGGACCGTGACGGCCCGCTCGGCGCTGACGCCCTGCGCCGTTTGTCGGGCTCCCCCGGCTTGGAACGTCCAGCTCCTTCCACTTCCTCCTTGTCCTCCTCCTCCCGCCCTCCTCAACCTTTGTTTCTTTTTTTGTTGTTCTCCAAATAGGCTTGCCCTATAGGAGTCTTAGCTCAAACCCTACTAATTGGTCCGTTGCCCCCCACCCTGATTCCTATACCCCCCCTGATTCCTATGGCTATGCTCATGCCTATGCCTCCGCTTGCTTGCTTGCACGCTTGCTTGCTTGCTTGCTTGCACGCTTGCTTGCTTCCTGAGGCTGAGTTGCGGGTTCCGTGCGTGCTTGATTCCTCTGATTCCTTGAATTGAGTAGTCTAATGTATTTGGGGTCAATGCTGGCTGATATTTTTTTTTTCCTCTCTCTCTCTCTCTTTGTTTTTCTCTCGCTCTCTCTCTCTCTCTCTCTTTTTCTCTCTCTCTCTCTCTCTCTCTGTGTCTCTTTCTCTCTCTTTCTCTCTCTGTCTCTCTCTCTCTCTCACAATCCCTCTCTATCTCTCTTTCCCTTGATGCGTGTGTAAATATAAACATCTATACACATTTAATATCTATATGTTTGTACAGCTACATGCTTCGGTCTCTCTGTACATATGCTTACATCGCATAGAGACCCTTCGGGTGATAAAGAATTTGGTTGGAGTGGGTGGGAAAAGGGGGGGATGCGTGTAATTTGCCGTCTGAGATTGGCGTCGGGCTGGGTTCGTGATCGATCTAACGACCTCCTTGCTAGTCATTGTCCCCATAGATCGGTCTGACTAGCTTATCCATCGATCCAACTGTAAGAACTATAAGAGCATCAATCGGTCTCACTATCTACTGGTTTCACTATCTATCTGTCCGTTCATCTTACCATCAACACGTCTATCTTTATCACTATGAATCTATCGCTTTCGTTATTTTTCTTCAGAACGGACAACCACGGGACAATCGCGGAACGGACTACGCGCAACCATGGCACAACCACGGGACGGACAAGCACTGGACAACCGCGGGACAAGCATATGACATTTATAGGACAACCACGGGGAAACCACGGGACAACCGCGAGACAACCAAGTGACAACCCCAGGACAACCGCGGCACGACTGCGGGACGACCGTGGGACAACCACAAAACGAACACGGGTCATCGATCTAACTATCCATTGTCTCCCTTACCGGCGATCTCACAATCTACCGGTCTCCCGAATTATCTGTCGATCTCACTATCAATCTACACACGGATCTCTTTACCTTTACCCCCACCATCTGTCAATCGATCTCACTGTCAACTGTCAATCCATCTATCGTTCGGGGCAACCGCGGGACAGCCACAGGACAACCACAGGACACCGATGTAGTCATGTATTGGTTTCCCTACATGTGTACCTATAGTACTATCAAAATGTCGGTCGATCTCACAAGCTACCTGACTTTGAGCATATCAATCGATCGCACCATCGATCGGTATGGTTATCTATCGATATCATTACCGATCCATCTCTAAATATCGTTGCTTACCGATCGCTTTCACGATCAATGCATCTACAGACTTAACAACAACAAAACAACGACGGGACAACCATCGCGACAACCGCAAGCAAAAACCACGGGAGACCACCATGGGACAACCAAAGGGCAAGCACAGGACAATCATCGGGGCAACCATCGGAGCAACAAACGGGGAAAGCGTCGGGACAGCCATCTGGGCAAACATCGGGACAAACATCGGGACAAACATCGGGCCAAACATCGGGCAAAACATCGGGACAAACATCGGGCAAACATCGGGAAAACAACAATCGGGGCAACCAACCTGACAACCCGGAAATTACCAGGGGCGACGATCTGGACGCGGGGAGACACATGTTGGCCTGATCTAGCTGCGGCAAAAGTCGGAACTCGCGCAACTTCGCCTCGCCTCGCCCGCACGCAAGACACGAACGAAGCGAAACGATTTCCTGTTGTGTGCAACCCACGTTTCACTTTGGTCTCGCCCCTGACCCCCGTCAAATAACATATATATATATTTATATATATATATATATATATATATTATATACACATACATATGCATCCGTCGACACATATATATATATATACATATGCATGCAAGCGTATGGCTGATGTATGTATATGTGTAAGCACACATGTAAGCAACCATACTTGCATTTACGTATGTATGTACAAACTTACGTACGGACGTCTGTATGTATGTATGCCAGCATGCATGTATGTATGCATGCATGTATCAATTCGTATATCTATACACGGCGGTTGTGCGTGCACATACGCCAACACATCTATGTATGCGCATGCACTCATTGCACACACATTACACATGCAGTGGGGCATGCGTACCTCTATGTCTGCTTGCGCGGGGCCCACCAAGTCTGTATTACACTGTGGAGGTGTATGCTGTGTGGTTCAAACTAGCCAACGTATGTAATGTAATCTATGCGGTGTCAGCTGTGTGCCGCAAGTGATGTGGTATAAGCTGGGTGGTGTGCGCTCTCTGATGAGAGCCATGTGGTAACAACTATGTAGTGCAAGGTAAGTGGTGCAGGCCATGCGGCCGCCCAGCGCGCGAGGCGCCCACGAAGTGCCCACGCGAGTTCGCCATGCCCACGCAGCAGCCGGGGCGCCCACGAGGCGCCCACTGGCGGCAGCTTGGCGTAACCCCAGCATACCCACGAGGCGCCCACAAGCGGCAACGTCGTGAAAATGATTCAGTATACATACATATACAAATATGAGCCCTTAAGTGCAAGCCCAGTTCGGGGCATACATCGCTCTAGTCTTTTTTTCTCCCACGTCTCATACCCATCCTCACTGTTTCTTCCTCGTTCCCCTCCGTTCCCAACCACCACTCGTCACCTCCGCTTCCTCCTGCTCCTAGACCCCTCCTCTAATCAGAGCGTCCTCCCAAGTCTTCTTGCCGCCCTCCTCCATCTCCTATACTCCTCTTCCTAGCCCCTCCCTCCCCTTCACAGCTTTCCCTCGCTTCTCTCTCTCTCTCTCCCTCCCCTCTCTCTCTCTCTCCTCTTCCTAGCCCCTCCCTCCCCTCACAGCTTTTTTTGTTTCTCTCTCTCTCTCTCTCTCTCTTTCAAGTTTTCTCTTTCTCCCCCCTCCCAATTCGCCTCTACTCCTTCTGCTTTCACCCTCCTCCCCGCCTTCGCCGCCCGCTGGTTTTCCCCTGTTTTACTTTCCTTCTGCCGTTCTTTCCTCTTCATCCACCTCCTCCTCCCTCTCTCTCTCTCTCTCGACCGCATTTCCCCCCATTCCCCTCTTCCCATCAGGCCTCCCTCTTTGTCTACCCCTCCCTGTGTGTATCCATGTTGTTTATGTCGCCTTCTCACTCTCACTCCCATTTCGCTTTGTTCTCTCTCTTTCTCTCTGTCCCTTTCTCTCTCTCTCACTCTCTCTCTTCCTCTCGCTCCCACTTTTTTGTTGTTTTCTCTCTCTCTCTCTCTTTTTCTACGTGCTAATGTCTGTCTCTCTCCCTCTCCCTCTCTCTGTTTCTTTCTTTTGTCTCTCTCTCTCTCTCTTTCTTGTCCGCTTTCCTCTCGGAAGTCACGGGCTAATTCCTGAAGAAAACAGCGGCATGAGCAGGCCCCCCCCGCGCGCTCCAGCATGGCGAGCTCGCCGAAGCTGGCCCCCGGCGACCTCAGCGGCTCAGCGCAGCGCGCGGAAGAGTCCCTGTCAGAGCACCACATCATAGGTATACTTGTTTTCCTAATGCGGGAAGGGGGAGGATCGGACCGGATCGGAATTCCGCGCGAATTCTTCACAAGGAAGCCACTGCCTGGGGTGTGCAGCAACGTTCGACCTACCGCAGGTTTGAGGGGGAAGGAGGGGGGAAAGGGCGAAGATGCAACGCTCAGAGAGAGAGAGAGAGAGAGAGAGAGAGAAAGAGAGAGAGAGAGAGAGAAATAGAGAGAGAGAGAGAAACAGAGAAAGAGAGAGAGAGAGACAAAGAGAAAGAGAAAAACAACAAAGAGAGGGATACTGAGAGAAAGAAAAGGAGAAACAGAGAGAGAGAGAGAGAGAGAAAAACATACCGAACGAAAACGGCCCAAACCAGGATGACAGAGGAAATCATATGCCAGCGGCAACAGCGGCAGCAGCTGCCGCGAGCGGGTGGGTGGGGGGCCTGCCCTGCAGTGCATCTCGTGCTGCACGAATGGGGGAGGTGGTGGAAGGGGGGGGGGGAGAAATGACGAGCACGGCAGAGGAGAAGAAGGACAAGTCGGGGGAGGGCGAAGGAGTGGGAGAAGAAGGAGAAGGGGGAGGGGGCTGATGATGATGCTGCTGATGATGATGACGATGCTGCTGGTGCTGTTGATGAAGCATTCATTCATTCATTCATTCCCCCCCATGTGAGCTCCCTGGACAGCACAAGTACGAGGCAGTGGATAGCATATTCTGGAACTCGGGTTAGTGGGCCACCACAAGCTTTAGACCAACGGGCTCTGTCTTAACACACCACACGAGCAGGCACAACATTGAGAATTTGGGGCTCTATGGCACTGGCCCTCTGAGCGTAGCCCCTCCCATAGAGCCGACAAGCTCCAGGACGGGAAAAGCGCTCGGGGCCCTCGAAGACTGACCTCAAGGCGCCGCTCACGTCATGCAAAGTGGACAATACACCAATGAATTCAGCGGCAAGCCTTCGGAACCAACAGCGCCTGTCACGGAATCGAGCCATTCGGGCATCATCTCGTCACGGTCGTCCATGATGAATACGCGTCGCGCGGGCAACCTGATGTTGTCGCGCTTCCTTTTGGATCCGATCAAGTCGAAAAGGTGCCCGCCGTGGGGCGGAAAAAGCAGCGCGCGGGACTCCAATTGCCCCTCGACGCTAAAGTTTTCAACGGCCAGGTGGTCCTCCCAGTCGGTTGACAAAGGGCTTGTAGAACACAAAGAACTCCTCGTTGGTCACGTCCACGGGCTTGCGCATCCTCAACGACTTGTTCTTGTTGAGCTGCCCCCACTCGTGAGAAACCTCCTTAATCATATTGGTTTTCTTGTTCTTCTCCTCCTTCTCCTATGTCTCCTCGTCGGCCTCTTCGGTCTTAGGCTTGTTGCCTCGTCCTTCTGCTCCTCCCCCCATCCTCGGTATCCGTAACCTCCTTCTCCTTGGACTTCCCGACGTGCAAATCAACATGGAACCTGATAAACTGGGAATGCTTCTTGACCAAATCCTGCAGGCGGCGTTCCACCAAGAAGTATGACTGGTCCTCCTTCATATGACAGATGGTCTTTGTGCCGCGCTTGATCTCGCCGTGCGCCATCTCTGTTTCCGTTTTGCACCGTGAAGGAGCCGCCAGTTCCAGACTCCCAGATGTACTGCTCGTCGTCACTGCTCTGGCTGATCACGCGCGCCTCGTCCTAGATGAGGTACACAGAATAGAATCCGACTCCGAAGTTCCCGAGAATAGATGCAGCCGCCAGCTGCCATTGCCCCCTATGAAGGTCTTGGTGCCGAGCTTGGCGAGGTAGCTGGTCAGCACGGTCTTGGTGATGCCGTCTTGTGAGCGGTCGTGCTTCTTCCCCGAGGCTAAAACATAATCATGCGAACGTGTTGGCCCGCCCGGTTGCCCCACCTGCTCTCGCAAGAGGGGCCGACGCCGCGCTGCTGGAAGGGCCTGGACAGCACGGCGGCGCTATGGTGTTGTTGATGCTGATGAGGGCGGCGGTGATGATCATGCGGATGGTGAGGATGATGTTGCTGCTGCTGCTGATGGTGACGATGGTGAAACTGATAATGCTGATGCTGATGATGACGATGGCGATGATGATGATGCTGATAATGATGGTGATGATGGTGATGACGACGACGATGACGACGACGATGGCAGTGATGATGCGGAAGGGGCCCTTCCACAGCAGGGTCGGGAACGACCCCCAAAACGTTCCGCCAGGATTGTTCTGCCCAGGTTCTGTTCGGTTCTCTCGTTCTTATCCATTTCTCCTCCTCCTCCTCCTCCTCCTCCCTTTCACATCTCCCCCCCCTCCACCTCTCCCCCCAACCTCCTCCTCCTCGTCCTCCCCTTTTCCCTTCCCTCTCCCTCTACAGTTTCAGAGTAGCGTCTCTCCTCTCGCCCCCGTAGACGTGCTGGGAATATTTCGCCCCCTCCATGACCGCATTGAATTTACACACAATTTTCTAGATGCTGCTATTTCTTATTTTTTTGTCAAATCCACGCGCTTTCCGTCATTCCGAAATGGTGCGCCCGCTGCAGCATTGGCTCCGTTTCCAAATTCCCGTTTCCTCACGCGGGTGCTCCAACTGCAACATCGGCCTCATTTCCGCTGGTGCTCCCGCAACAGGGTCGGCCACTGTCCGTGTTTTCGGTCATTAGACGTAAAGGTCCCGCTGTGGCGCTGGGTCGTTCTCAACCGCTGGCGTCATTTCCGCGCTTTGAGTACTTCAATATGGTGCCCCCCCCCGCACTACAACGCTGGCCTCATTTCCAAATTGCCTGTCCTTCAAAAAACGTTCCGTCTAGAGTGTGTCCTCCAAGTCTGAAGTACTAATCCTTGACAATGGTGCTCGGACTCCAGCGTTGGCCTCACTTCTGAAGCCGCATGCCTGACTTGCTCTGGGACCTCTGTCCGAAAGACTGACACTTTCGACGGGGCGCAGGCCGTGCTCTTGCATCAGCATGTGGCTTGCGCCTCCTAACCCTGGTCCCTGCGTGCTGGTACTTCTAGATGGAACTCCCGCTGTAACGTTTGCTCATTCCTCAGTTTATATGGATCCTGCGTTCAGTGGAATGGCGCTCTCTTTGCAGCGCTGGCAGCACGATTGGGGCGGCATTTGCTCACGTCTCCCCACCCTGGTTCCTAAGCAATGCCGCGCCATGCTGCGCCATGCTGCGCTTTGCCGTTATCTCCTATGCCATGCTAGGTGATGCTATGCTGTGGGTCGGTTACTTTTTCGGGATCGATGTCTTCTTGGACACTCGACTGTGCGAATAAAGAGGGGCTCTACGCAATGGTAATGGATGGAAAGGGAAGGAGGGGTAGGACGTCAGATATGGCATGGGCGCGCCTACCTCGCCCGCTCCCCCTCTCCCGCTCCCTCTCACTGCCCCTCCTCCTCCTCCTCCTCCTCCTCCTCCTCCTCCTTCTCCTCCTCCTCCTCCTCCTCCTCCTCCTCCTCCTCCACTCCCCCTCCTCCTCCTCCTCCTCCTCCTCCTTTCCTTCCTTCCTTCCTCCCTCCCTCCCTCCCTTCCTTCCTTCCTTCCTTCCTCTCCCTTCCTTCCTCCTTCCTGCTCCTCCTCCTTCAGAATCGGCCCCTGGGCCTCTCCAAGGGTGCACTCTGGACAAAGCTTCGAAGCGGGTCAGGCCGTGACGACCCCCGCCGAGGAGGCCTCGATCGGCGGGCGGGGCCGCGAGATGCGCCCCCGGCGGCCACCCCGCGGAGGCCCGATGGCCGCGGCACGCGCGCCAGCTGCCGCCCGTCCCGCTCGGCGACCGCCGTCCCGCCGTGGTGGACAGACCTCCTCCTCGCCCTCGCCCTCGTCGTCCTCCTCGCCCTCCTCCTCCTCCTCCTCGTTCTCGGCCTCCTCCTGGTCCTCCTCGCGGTCCTCCTCCTTCTCCTCGTCCCCCCCCTTCTCCTCCTCCTCCTCCTCCTCCTCGTCCTCGTCCTGGTCCTGGTCCTGGTCCTCGTCCCTCTCCTCCTCCTCCTCCTCCTCCTCCTCCTCCTCCTCCTCCTCCTCCTCCTCCTCCTCCTCCTCCTCCTCCTCCATCCTCTCCGTTACGAATCACTCCTCCCTGTCGCACCCCGAAACGTGTGGGTAGGGCGGGCCAGGCGCTTCGCCTGAGACTTTCACATTTATGATCATTCAGCTTGAAATCTCACCAGCCATCTGGGCGCAGGCGGTCCAACGATGCCTTTTTCCCCCTTCCGAGAGCCCCGCTTCCCCTTCTGGGAAGCGTTTATCTTTGTTCCCTCTTCATATGCACCCCCTCCCCCACCCGGCCGGCGGCCAACCCGGAACCATGCCGGCCCCATGCAGGCCCTCCCCCCACCATCCCTGTCAACAAAAACAATACAAAACGCACTCTGCCTCCACATCTGGTACATGCGCGGCCAACCCGATGCGGCCACCCCTACACCTGCCCAAAAAACAATACAAAGTACGCTTTGGGGCAAAGTCTTGAGTCATGTTCGTGAAGCCCGCGAGCACTTTGTACTATTTTTGTCAGGGACGGCGGGTGTGTCAGCATATTCCCTGCTGTGCGCAGGGCTACCATCCTTGACAACAACAATACAAAATGCACCTGGCGGCTAACTCTGGATCATGCGCGGCCACTTCGCGATCACTGTCAAGTATTTTTTGACAGGGGCGGCGGGGGTGGTGGCGCGTGGCCTGCTGTGCGCAGGCCCACCAGGCACAATGATGGGCGTTAGTTCTCGATAAGGATGGTGGGGGCCGACATGTTTCCCGATGTGTGCTGTCACGTGCGCAGGCGCACCTGACGCACTCTGCACGTGTCCCGAACGTGGTCCACCTGGCGCGGCTGGAGTGTGCGGCACACCTGGCGCGCTCGGAGCACGTGGCGCATCTGGCGCACCAGGCGTGCCTGGCACGCTCGGGCCCCAGGGGTGCCTGGCGCGCGTGGCGTCCCTGGCACGCGTGGCGCACCTCGTCCAAGGGTCGCGCACCTGGGATCGGCTCTGGTTCCCAATAATTGTCCATCCAACGACGACAGCTGCACATGCTCGGGCCCGGGTGTTACTGATGTGCTGGGAAGGCGGGTGGGAGTGAGCTAGGTAGACGGCTTGTGGGCGGGTGGGTACACCTCAACGCCCCATAGCTCCAAGAAGGCCTCCGATGCTCCAAGATAGCCTCCAACACGGCTCAACACGTTCCTCCCCCTCCTCTCTTTGACCGCTCTGTTTCACTCTATGCGTCTCTGCTTTCCATTTCCCGTCAGCTCTCGTGGGCAGGGCTTCTGAATGGGCTGGCGGGATTCGCGAAGCGTGAACAATTTGCAACGGTTTCACGGATGGAGGGTGGGCCGTTTTCAAAATGTAGCTCTCGCCTCAGCGCCGCGCGCATTCGTCTGAAAAGTTCGCAAACATTTCATGGAGGAAGGGCCGGCCGTTTTCAAAATGTGGCTCTCGCCTTGGCCCCGCGCATATTCTTTTTAAGAACTTACAGCGGTTTCAAGGATTCTTGTGGCTGGTGTCCCAGAAATGATGTTTTTGCGCGATGTGTGACTGCCCGGGCGCAACAATCACGTTGATTCGCTGTGTTGCAGTCCCAGGAATAATGTTCTGGCGCGATTTAGGACCGTCAGGATGCAACGTTAGCGTTGATTCGCTTCGTTGAAGTCTCAGAAATGGTGTTCTGGCGCGGTTCAGGATTTCCAATCACATGTCCTCCAACTGGGCAGTTCCCTCAATGAAAGTAACCCCTTGTAGGAACCAATGGAGCGGGAACTTGGAGGGGGGGGTCTATTATTGCAACATCGTTGATGAGTCTTGTGTTTGCACTGGTCCTTCTCCTCCTCCTCCTCCTTCCCTCCCCTCCATCCATCTCCATCTCATCCCCTCCCCTCCCCCCTCCTTTCCTACTCCCCCCTCCTCCGCGACGCCGAGGCCCCGGCATGCGCGCCAACTGCCGCCCGTCCCGCTCGGCGACCACCATCCCGCCGAGGAGGACGAACATGCTCGGGTCCTTCTCGTTGTGTCCTGCCGGCCGACGCTGACCACCCTGGACTTCTTGATGCAGTAGACACACAAAAGATGGCATCCTGCTATACGACGTCTAGGGACACATTTGCTGTCGATCTGTCGCCCTCCCAAGGTGTCCCAGGCCTCCCATGGGCCCCCGTGGGCCCCTGGGGCACAAGAGATGTCCGGGGGGCACCTGCCGGCAAGCTGGTTCCTTCCTTGACGTGCCAAACTGTCGGCCCGCACCACAAGGAGGCGCGATTCGGATGCGGGGGCCTTGGGCGCCCACGCCGAAGCTTCTCGAGCGGGGCGCGGCCAACGGAAGCGGCGAAGCAAGGACTGAGGTGGCAAGGATGCAGGGGTACCCTTGGGAAGCTTGCCCATCCTCACTATGCGGGTTGACTGTGCTGTGAGCGTGGGCCCACCCCGCCCCCGACGGCGACCGCGCCTCCTCGGCGCACCGTGCCGTGGGTCGGAGCGCCTCCGGCGCGCGGCGGCTGTCCGCGACGGGAGCCCACCCAGGGCCTGACGGCGGAGGTGGCGCCCTCCCCCCCCACGGGCACTCTCGGGTCGAGCGCAAGGGGAGGATGGCAAAGGGGGTGTTTGAGAATCAGCTCACGTAGCTGATCTTCCCGGCGCCTCCCGGCGCCGGAGGCGGCTACGTATCGAGGAATGGGCCCCTCGGCGAGGCCGAAACCAGCTGCATGCAGCAAATTTCGTACCCCCCCCTTTCCCTATCCCCCCCGTTCGTCCGGCCCGATGCTCGCCGCGGAGCGCGGGGGATCCGCCTCAGCCGAGCCTGGCCGGGTCGGTCTTGGGCCCTGGGTCGGCGCACGTGCCGCTCCCCTGGGCGACAGCTGGGCAGGCGTGTGCACCGAGCCTGGGTCCCGCAGGGGCCTCGCCAGGCTGGGTGGGGTGGCTGGCTCGTGCGCCCCGTGGGGGGGGGGTGGAGGGTCGAGCAATGCATGTGTTGCAATCTATGTGGTGCAACATATGCGAAGCAATCTACGTCGTGCGCCCCTTATGTAGTGCAATCGACTTGGAGCAAGCTGTTTGGTGCAATATCGGTTGTGCTATCTTGGTGGTGCAATAAATGTGATGCAACCTATGTGGTGCAAATGACTACCCTGCACCGCGCCTGACCACCTCCACTGCTCGCGCAAACATCCCACCCACCCACCCGCAACTTGGTCGCAAGAATTCTTAAGACAAGACCGTGACGGTAGGTACCACATGGCACTTGGCCACGACACCGACGCCGACGACGACAACGACGACGACGACGACGGCGCCGCCGACACCGACTACGACGACACCGCCGACGTCGACGTCGACGAAGACGACGACGACGCCGACGCCGACGACGACGACGAAGACGACGACGACGACGTCGCCAACGAAGACGACGACGAGGGAGGAGGGAGGACGACGAAGGCGACAACGACGACAACGACGATGGATGAGGGGAGACGGCGACGACGCGAACGACGAAGAAGGAGGAAGGACGGCGACGCCGACGACGACAACGACGAGGGAGGAGGGAAGGCGACGACGACGACAACGACGACGAAGACGACGACGACGGCGACGAAATAGGAGGGACGACGACGAGACGCCAACGACGACGACGACGACGACGACGAGGGAGGAGGATAACGACGAGGGAGGAGTGAAAACGACGACGACGACGACGGCGACGAAATAGGAGGGACAGCGACGAAACGCCGACGAAGACGACGAAGGAGGAAAGACGACCACGGCGACAACGACGACGGAAGCGACGACGACGCCAAGACGACGACGACGACGAGGAAAGACAGAAGACGACGACGGACGACGACGACGACGACGACGACGAACGACGACGACGACGACGCAAGAGCGCGCGCGCACGAAAATCCGTGTTGCGAAACCTTGTGTTTTTGTAACGCACGACGAAACGAAACGACGCAAGGAGGAAAGGACGACCACGGCGACAACGAACGGGCGACGACGACGCCAAGACGACGACGACGACGAGGAAAGACAGAAGACGACGACGGCGAGGACGACGACGACGACGACGACGACGACGACGAGGGAAGAGGGAGGACGACGACGACGACGCAAGAGCGCGCGCGCACGCTTTTGTTGAAAATCCGTGTTGCGAAACCTTGTGTTTTTGTAGGTTTTTTGGAGACACGATTTTGAAATCCTTCCGAAACCGATGGGTTTTGAAGGTTTTCGGCATACGCGCGCGACGACGCGCGCGTCTGCACTTCGTCCCGTTTTTTGCAGAGGATTCTCGCGACGGCACACGCGCAAGGGCGTTCGACAGATTTCGACATGCGCGCGCGCGACGTCCGTTTAATAGTTAATGGCATTTTGTTAAAATCTTGAAACACCTATGGTTTTCTTAAGATTTCGCAAGAGCTCGCGCGGAAACTTTGTTAGCAAATCAATGTTGCGAAACCCTGTGTTTTTGTATGTTTTTTGGGAACTCGATTGCGAAATCCTTCCGGCACCGAAGGTTTGTGAAGGATTTCGGCATGCGCGCGCGACGGCGCGCGCGTGCGCACTTCGTCCCATTTTTTTTGCAAGGGATTCGCGAATAAGTTTTATGCTATAACAAAGAATGTCACCGCATAGTGTGTTTTTCCACTATGCAGTGACATTGTTTACAGTATGCAGGGGGGGATGCCGGTTGGCCTGGGACATAGCGACTTCATATTTAGGATGGACATGTGGTCAGAATCGTATAGAATTTACATATGCGAAAGGGGGGCCGATAACGCCGGGGGGGGGGTAGATCCTATTCTGTTTTTAGAAAGGAGAATCTATTCGACGCAAGCTGTTGGTGCAATCTATGGGGATGCTCAGCTTGAAATTGTCCACTCTATAGCTCGCGCAATCATCCCACCCATCCACCCGCAAATTGGTTTGCAAAACCCATGCGGGGGCGATTGCGATGAATGCTTGGTGTTGGCGTGTGCTTCTCTGCGGCCGTGCCATGCTTCTCTCGGCGCGCACGCGCGCGCAGCGGCCAGCTACTTTGGCGAGACCGACGCGGCCGCGGTGGTGCTGACCGCTGGGCACATCCCAGCGGGCATTTCAGTGCGAGTCGGCGACATGGGCGGGCGCGGTATCAGGGCAACGTCGACAACGGTTAACGCGATGATGATAGTAGCGATGCTGGTGACTAACGGCGCGCTCAATGACGGCGCCGATGCTGATCACGCCGACGAAGATGACGGCGTTTTCGCGTCGGTGGTGAAGGTTCTGTAAGGAGTTCGGCACGCGCGCGCGGCCGACGCGCGAGTGGCCCGCATGGTATTATCTGACACGGATCGTGCCCCCCATCACGCGCGCAAGGGCGTTCGAATGATTTAGGGATGCGGCGTGACTGGCCCGCTGGGCTGGATAGCATGAGTATGTTGAACAATCACTTGTTCTCTTAAATATTCGCAAGAGCGCGAACGCAGGTTTTTCTGAAACCGGTTTTTGCGAAACCAACTGTTTGTTTATATGGTTTCGGGACACTCGGTTTTGAAACCCTTACGAAACTTGAGGTTTTTGAAAGATTTCGGCATGCGCGCGCGACGACGCGCGCGCGGGTGGTTTTTTTTTTTTTTTTTTTTTTTTTTTTTTTTTTTTTTTTTTTTGTTTTTTTTTTTCTTTCCGAAATGTTCTAGCGACAACACGCGCGCAAGGGCTCTCGATCGATTTCGACATGCGCGCGCGAAGCCCGTTTGGTAGCATGTTATGCACATGTTGGAAACATATGGTTGTCTTCCAAACTCGTTAGAGCGCGAGCGCAAGTTTTTTCGTGTATATGTATGTATGTATGTATATATATATATACATATGTATTATAGATAAAAAACGCTCGATTTTGAAATCCTTGCGACAACAACTGTTTTTGAAGGATTTCGGAGTGCGCGCGCAACGACGCGCGCGCGTGTGCTGCGTCAATTTTTCTGCAAATGGTTCTTGAGACTTTGTGATTTGTGATAAACGGGAGTGCGCGCATAATATTTTCCCAAAGATGGAGGGGGGGCGATGCCGGCTTAGCTTGGGTGATATGAGCTCAAATTTAGGAGTGACAGCGGGGCAGACTTGTATGTAAATTTCAATACGCAGCGGGGGCGGATGACGGGGGGGGGGGGGCAGATCCTAAATATCTTTAAGAAAACATAATTATTTCACCAATGCTGGCAATGCGTTGTCAACGCCACTGCTCGCGCAATCATCCCGCCCACCCACCCGCAACTCGGCTTGCAAAACCCATGCGACGGCGATTGCGATGAGTGCTTGGCGTTGGCATGTGCTTCTCTGCGGCCGCGCTAGCCCGCGAATGCTCGCGCGCGCAAAGGCCAGCTATTGCGGCACGGCCGACGCGGGTGCGTTGGCGTTGGCCGCTGGGCACTTCCCAGCGGGCGCTTCAGTGCGAGTCGGTGACTTGGGCGGGCGCGGTATTATGGCGACGCCAGTAGCGGTAGTCGCGATGATGAGGAGTAGCAATGATGGTGACGATGGTGGCGATGACGACGGCAAGGCACATGATGGCGCCGATGCTGACCACGCCCGCCGATAACGATGACGATGTCCTCGCGTCGGTGATCAAGGTTTTGGAAGGACTTCGACATGCGCGCGCGGCCGACGCGCGCGAGTGGCCCTGCGGGGTGTTATTTGACGCGGAGCGTGCCCCCCCCAGCACGCGCGCAATGGCTGTCAGATGAGTTCGACATGCGGCGCGGGAGTCCCGTCTGGCAGAATTTGGTGACAATGCTGAAGAACCCATGGTATTCTTACGAATTCGCGAGAGCGCGCACACTTTTTTGCAAACCAATGTTGCGCAACCATTGTGGTTGATGGCGAATGTGAGCGCGTAGTACTTTTTGCAGAAGATGGGTGTGGGGATGCCGGCCTACCTGGGATGGTACGCATTCATATTTCGGATAGAGGATGGGGCAGAATCGTCTGCAGATTGCACATCCCCAAGTGGGCCCGATAAGTCCAGGGGGGGGATCCTAATACTCT